GCAATTGTCCCATTCAGCAGGATCAAGCCTGCCTTGTGCTCTTTGGGAATCATTCTATTGATAAATTCTGTAAATGAATTACTCCTCTTCAGTCTTCAGAAGTGTGCTTCATTGTGTGCATTTGGGTCTTGTTGAAGGGACAGTGTTCACAGAGGTATCATTGTTGAGTCATAGCTTTCTTTCCTTGTAGCTCAGTGTAGCATTTTGCAACTGGAAATAAACAGACTTGGAGTAATGTAGACATGAGTGCACTGAGTGAAAGTCAGGAGGAGCTAGGGCCATGGGCAGCTTCCTTTCAATATGCAACTAGAGAAAGATACGCCTTATCCATATGAATATATTCTAGGTGAGAGCCTTCTTAGAGTTTCAGTTTGCTAGCCAATTTCCCTTCCCTGTTGTTTTTCCATCCATCCAAGAGTCAGTTGGTTGAAGGGAGTTATTTTTCTAGTGGCATTCAAAGAACGCTTAAACAGAACTGTAAATAGTGGCTTCAAGGTGTTCTTTTTCGAAATGCTTCATTCCCCCCACCCCCGTCACTGCCTTTTATAGCCAATGTAAATGTCTATTTGCAAACCTTTGTTGTGGTTTTATATCGTAATGCCATTTTCTTTCCCAGAAAGATTGTATTTAAAGTAAGTTTTCATATAATGTTAACAAGTCATTAAATTATGTTCGGAAGGAGGCCATATTCTGTACCAAAATGTGCTCTCTGAGCTGGTAAAAGTAGGATTTTGCATGATATCTCACCCTTTTTGTTCTGTGGTTTGTTCTGTTGTAGGATGGTGTGTGTGTGTGTGTGTGTGTGTGTGTGTGTGTGTCTTGAGTACCAGTGTGTACTGAAGTGTGCCGAGATTCCATGCACTCTCACTGTGTTTAAAGAAATACCAGAGACAGGAGGGACTCCAGTAGCAGGTCAACCTGTCAATTACAGCTAGAAATCACTAGTTCTCACCACCACCACCACCCTGTCACCCCAGCTTGCTATGATGTGGAGAGGTTGAGACTC